GTGTGTGTGTGTGTGTGTGTGTGTGTGTGTGTGTGTGTGTGTGTGTGGTAATCCAACATTTGTTGCAGTTGTATTGTCTTTGTTGCTCTGACTTTCTGATAAGCCTATAAATGACTGTAAAAATACATTCTTCTGTCTCAGGGGGATTGCCGGTCCTACAATTACGTGTGCGGCATCACAAGTAAAGAGTCGCCTCACTGGGAGTCTCTCATGTTCCTGGCCAGACTCATCCCTCGCATGTGCCATACTATCAATAGGTAACACACCCCGCTCTGCTCTTCGTCTCTCTCCCCACTTATATGCCTCATTACACACTCTTGTGTATTCTATGGACACTCATCCATTCATTCAGGTCTCTCCTTTTTCCAGAGTCGTGTATGTGTTCGGGTCTCACGTGAAAGAGCCGCCTACAGACATTACCCCGACCTTCCTGACCACAGGTGTTCTGAGCACTCTCAGACAGGCTGACTTCGTAGCTCACTCTATCCTCAGAGAGTCTGGTAAGTGTGTGTAGCCAAGTGATTTTAGACATTTTAATTTAGCCTTATGTCTTGTATTACAGACTACAATATAACAATGTAGTCTCTCTAGAGCCATTCTCTCCTTTTTACAAAGCCTGGTATTAATATGCTTCAAGAATAGTGTACCCGTCTGCATACTTGCATCCACATGAGGAATGTAACATTTCCCCAGAGGCAAACCACATACTGGTTGTTGTGAGTCTGTTCCTGACTGTGTCTGTGGTTTCACTCAGTAGTCCGGGGAGGATTTGAAGATCATTTTGTCCACATTTAATATCATATAAATGATCCATAAGAGTATGGTGTAAGCCTTTTTTGCTTCATTAACAGATGGACATGATTAAGTGACAAAAAGCATGTTGTTATAGCAGCAATGAGAACATTTTCTCTCTTGCAGGCTATTCCGGTAAGATCAGCCAGATGCCAATCATTTTGACCCCCCTGCACTTTGACCGCGACCCTCTGCAAAAACAGCCATCCTGCCGGCGCTCTGTGGTGGTCCGCACCTTCATCACCAGCGATTTCATGACCGGCATCCCTGCCACGCCAGGCAACCATATCCCGGAGGAGGTAAACCATGATTGAAGCTCTCAACTTAGTGTTGGCATTATCTCACCATCATGAATACTGAACCTATGTTAAGGGATTGAGCATCATCAGCCCCAGAATGATTTAAATACATTTTGTTCAATGTTATAGGAGTCATTTGTCGTGTTATCTGTTTCCGCAGGTGGTGCTGAAGATGGTAAATGAGATCAAGAAGATCCCGGGCATCTCCAGAGTCATGTATGATCTGACCTCCAAACCACCCGGCACCACAGAGTGGGAATAAAACACGACATGACGTCATACCGACAGGACACACACACTCGCACACAATGCACAAATACACTCAACCAATATCAGAGCGGGCTGGTGAATTCCTCCTTTTCTGTCCCCCCCCCCTCCCCCTCCTCCCTCCCTCCCTCCTCTTCAACATTCCCACGGAAGGCAGACCGTACTGTGACGGGCGCTACTACTCTGCTCTCCCCACCACTCCTCCCTGGTCTTAATATTTTTGGCGATAGGGATTGATTAATGTTGGTTATTGATAATATATTGTCACTTTTGGTCCATGTGCATCAATGTATTTCCTCTCTATGACTAAAAAGGTAAATTGCTGCTTCCGTTTCTTAAGGTCAACCATTAAAGGCCAGTGGTGAGAAGCTGTGAAAAGTTAAGAAAGTGGACTTTGATGGTGTGCCTCAGGTTGCATTATGGGATGAGCTAAACGTGAAAACAAGCAAACAGAAAGGTCACGAACTGAAGGAGAGTTGTTTTCTGCCTTTTTTGTCAGATGTTTTTGTTTCACAGCTGTGGGTCAGAATCTTCTCAACCTCAGACTATCCTCTCTATTTGTTCATTTTCAGTTTCTGCCTGTGTACTGTGCTATAAAGACGGTTGTCTGTTTTTAAGGTAAATACCCAACGGGCAACCTATGTGACCAATCAATAATTTTTCAGCTTTTTGTTTTGCCAAAAGTAGAATAAGCCGTGGTGATATATAACATTGTGGGCTCCTCTTGACGATCTTCTCCAGGCTACATGTTGTTGACGAGAGCTCTTGACTTGTTGCTGTGCCACAGGGAGGACAGCAGACAACCCAAGATTAGCTTCAGTGTGATGACTAGTGTGCAGGAAGCCAATATGATGGGCAGCTTTGTATGTACCTGTTCTGTTGTTTGCGTTCATTTCTTGATGTGACCCGACCTGGACTTTAATGTTTCCGGAAAAGGACGATATAACACTGTTTCTCTTCATGCTGCAATATGTATGCTTTTTATGAAGAATAAACACAAGAGGATTAACTAATAACAAAATTATAAGTACAGTATAGTTTATAACCACATTGTGTAAATTGCAATTGTGTTTATAGCATTATTTGGCTGCTCTTTTGTTGCGCAGGGGCACATTTTGTCTTTTTTTTTTTTTTTTTTTTTTTCTCACCCATAAAGAAAGCCTTGGTGTGGAACAATGCATCCAGTGGGAACGTCACCACATTCAAGTGCGTCACTGTGTAGAGTCAAAGTTCAGGTTGTCTGTTTCCATCTCTTAACTCAAGTTCACTGTGTCTCAAAAAGGCATCGACTGCTTAATTCATTTCCGTTGTCAGAACATTAATTACATCATAATCTCTAGTCTCGTCATTTAGTCCTCAGTGAATACAGTGCTCGGGTTTAACTGAGATTTTAAAAGTGTATTGTGCCCCCCCGATAGAGCCATTTCACTCGGACGCAGTGGTTGTCATGTCTTTGTGCCTCTCATTCTGTTCTCTCCGTAACCCGTAGTGGCAAACGTACTCCTAATGCGAAATGAATTGTTTTCCTAACTCGTCTTAACCGCCATTAGTATCCCTCTGTTCGGCCTTTTATACATGTGTATTTTCCGTTGCATATGTCACCATAGAAAACAACAGCTTGATAATATTGGACACACACTTTCTTAGTTGGATTTAATTGCAATATCGATAAGATTTGCAATTTTTTTTTTTTTTTTTTTTTTTTTTTTTTTGGTTTTGTTTTATAATTTCTGTTCAACAACGCTCATTCTCCTTTGTAACGTGCCTCAAACCAAGCCACTGCATGCAGTTTCAACTATGATGACATTTGTACAATGGAAAACTGAGCTTTAATAAAGATCTCCATGTTGAAACTTCTCACTTCTGTAATGAGCAACTTATCTCTACTGGTTTACACTTCACATTACTTTTTTTCTAATGATTTTCATCGTGATAGTTTGTCTTCCCACAGTTTGAGAGTATTGATTATTTGGAGTATATAACGTAAATAACAGCAAAATACAGAAGACTGAAGAAATCAAAAGCACTTTTAAGTAAATTAAAGCTTTCTAGTTAATGATTGATTCAAAGGAACTATTTTTAAATTATAGAACAATATCCAAATTTTGATATTGGAGAACTTGGTAAAGTAAGCATTGCAGAGATTCTTAAGTTTTCACATGTTATTAGACCTTTTCCTTATGTTGTCGCTATTTGATTTCCATTTTTACATTCCACTTGATTTATGATATTTTTTTTCTGGAGGGGTGGAGACTGGATGATCTAAATCCATAGAGGTGAAAGTAAATATAGTTTGTGTTAACCTCACTCCCCGCTGCTTTAACTATCCACACTTCATCATTTTGTCCCCCCCCCAATTGGGTTGAAATTATTCCACATGCTTCCGATGCGGCCTTGTGCATTATATGTACCAACTGTAAATCACAGCCAGAATACAGAAGTACAGTTTTCTTTAGGACTGGAAGCAACTTTATCTAACTTTATTAATGTAGAAGTAGTTATTCAAAAAGTAGAGTAAAATGGGAAAGTGGAAGACCCTTTTTCCATTTAATCATGTGCCTCTTTACAAATGTCCTCCTGGAAGAGGCCTTTAAAATAATTACATTTGCGGTTTTTGTGAATTACCACACGTAATTGATTTCTTGCAGCACACATCAGTATCGGTCAGATGTCTCTCACGTGCCTGAGAGAGATCACAAGGGTACAATCACACACACACACACACACACACACACACACACACACACACCCTGTAGGTCATCTTTGATCATCAGCAACTACATGAAAATATCCTCCTGTTGGATTCCTGCTTTCTGTGCTTCAACTTCCCTTTCAATCAAATCCATGTAAACAGCCATATTGTTGAGAGAAGTTTAGACTAGCTTATTTGTGTGCTGTTACCCAGCAGAGGTCCCTCTGTGTGCCAGGGTTCAGGTGTGTGTTTCTCCCTGCTGACTGAGAGACAAGAGCAGACAAGTTCAGTCATCCATCAACACACAATCAGACCCACACTCAGGGGACAACCCATGGTTTTGGAACAGTAGCCATGCTGTTAAGTTGCGTAAAGACTCTAAGTTACCACATGCGGCTGCCAATTAACATGTGGCCTGTGGCAGTTTATCCTCCACAGCTGACCCGAGTGCAGACTGATAAACTGATTTGTCTTAACAGGATGGAAGAAAGAGGAAACAAAGAGAAATGAAATTATGGGATGTTTTTTTTTTTAGTTTATTTGAAGTTTAAGTGTGTGTTTGTGCACGTTTTGTGGTCCAGGGTCCAGTTTGTGCGAATGGAGGGAGAAAAAACAGAGTAAAACTTTTTTTAACCAAACATCATTTTATACACCGTTAATGAGATCATCATTCTTTAATAATTACTAAAATCATCTAAAATGAACTAAGTCCTTCTTGTCTATGTTTCAATGAAGATTAATATGTCCTCATCCAGTGCCCTCCTCCTCACTTTTGTTCTCAGGTTTCCCCGTGCAGCACATCTCCCCTGAGAGCAGACAAGACACCTGTCACACTTTTCTGTCTGCCGCAGCGAGAGCTCTCTTGACTCCTTTCTGCGCCCGCATAGCATGGAAATCGGTCGCTTGTTGCTTGGATTATGTGCCTTTTTGTACTTGTACAGATCATTTTCAGCAGAGTCCACATGCAAGCTGAAGGCCAAGTTCAACCTGAGCGGCTACAAGGATATAGAGAAGAAGAAAGTTGTCGTTGGGGGGATGTTTCCTGTTCACCAGCGTATCGCTTCCAGTGATCGCAACACGTCAAGGGTGCCGGTCTCCTCGGGGTGTGAGGGGTGAGTTGAGGTTCTCATTTGTCTTTGTATTGGCCTTTTGCTTAAGTTGTTGTTAGAATATATTACACTAATCTTAGATAATCTCAAAAGCCTAATTAAGTGACAGTATTTTATAATTTAGCCCCTAAATGAGAAAAAGATTTACTAGAGTATATGTTTCAACCTCACAGTTTGCTTCTGAGAACTCTTAACCTGAGGATTTTACTATAGAAATCAAGAAAGAGCTGGGCAGCACCTCTGGGGAACAATTAGCCTCAGTAGCCCATATTATCATGGAGACAGGCCTTTACACTCTAGTACTATGCAACAATAATCAGAGAGCCTGCAAACTGTCCTCTTGTGGCTAATTTAGGTAATAACTTTCAAAGGACTAAAATAGTCCGTGCATATCTCCCAGTCATGAAGTTTTGTGTACCGTTATCTCATCTCTCTCCCATCGTCCTCCAGGTTTAACTTCCGTACCTTCCGCTGGACCCAGACCATGCTGTTTGCCATCAACGAAATTAACGAGAATCAGGACCTGCTGCCCAACACCGACCTGGGCTACGTCATCTACGACTCCTGCTTCACCATCTCCAAGGCGGTGGAGGGCACCCTCACCTACCTGACGGGCCAAGACGAGGCCGTGCCCAACTACCGCTGCGGGACTGGGGCTCCTCTGGCTGCTCTGGTGGGCGCTGGGGGCTCCGATCTGTCCATTGCCACGGCGAGGATACTTGGGCTTTATCACTTCCCACAGGTAGGTCAATGGGGAGTTAGATGAAGACAAGGAAGATGAACAAATATAAAGAAAAAGTGCAATGTTCGTGTCCTCTCCTCTGTCGTCCTTAGGTCAGCTATTCTTCCACTTGCTCCGCCCTGGAAAGTAAGTTCCAGTTCCCCACCTTCCTCAGGACCATTCCCAATGACAAGCACCAGTCCACAGCTATCGCCCAGCTGGTGCTGCACTTCGGCTGGACTTGGGTGGGCACCATAGCTGCCAATGATGATTACGGCAAGTATGGCATCAAAGCCTTCAAGGAGCAGGTTGAGGAAGCTGGTGTCTGCATCTCCTTCTCTGAGATCTTGCCCAAGGTAACACCTCTTCAGTCAATATTTCACTGTCCCTCCTTTAGTTCTGATCACACACTGTCATGCCGGTCTTCTCGAGGGATGTATTGCAGTTTATTCCTGTTGAAAAATGAATATATTCTTTTTTTTAAACTTCAGGTGAGTTCACAAGAGGACATCCAGCGTATTGCTAAAACCATAGTTGAGGCCACGTCCAAGATCATTGTGGTCTTCTCGTCAGACGTGGACCTTAGTCCTCTGATCCTCGAGCTGCTCCGGCACAACGTGACCAACCGCACCTGGATCGCCAGCGAGGCCTGGGTCACCTCCGCTCTCATCAACCAGCCTGAGGTGAGTGCTCAGTCCAGTGATGACTGAGGGTCAAAGCTCATTGATTGATTGACTGAACAGACATGAAGCAGATGCTCCACAGGCTCTGAATCACAGTTTGAACTGAAGTTGACAATGTGCTTGTTTTTACCCAGGTGAACTCGGTGCTCGGTGGTACTCTGGGCTTTGGGGTAAAAAGGGCTGACATCCCGGGGCTTCGACGCCATCTACTGGATTTGGACCCCTATTCTAACCAGCTCACAGAGGAATTCTGGGAGATCGTGCGTTTATTAAGCTCTCTAATTGCACAGACTGTCACAATATCTGTCTCCACCCATCTATTAACCACATGCAAAATCTCATTGAGACAAAATGACGACGAACATTCAGTGGCAACTCTAAAAGTCATACACAAATCTAGAAAAAGTTTGTGACCTTGTTTTTTTGTCTTGTAGTTGTTTAACTGCACATTGGACTATGGCAAAGCAGTGTGGCAGGCCAAACAGAGGGCCAAGGAGGTCAACGGCATGCTGTCCAGGGCAGTGAGGGGGGTTCCTGACGGGCTGTGTACGGGCGGCGAGTCTCTGGCACAGCTCAGTAACACCTACTCTGATGTTTCCCAGTTACGAATCACTTACAGGTCAGTTCTCACTGCCCATATTGCTGCTACAAGTATGAATTATTTTTACCTTCATGCTACTGGAATCGCCTCTACAACACCTATTGTCTCCACCATTAAAGGGTCAGTACACCCAAATTACAAAAAGTAACACCAGGCCATAGAGATTTTGAGATAGAGACACTGATGTGCCATGAAGGCGTGATTGATAATGGTGGTGACGATGATGATGATGATGAAGATATCTCCCCACAGTGTGTACAAAGCTGTGTACGCTGTGGCCCACGCCTTGCACAACCTGGAGCACTGTGAAGACGGACAGGGGCCATTCATCGGGAAAAGCTGTGCTGACATCACCAACTTTGAGCCATGGCAGGTAAGCCTGTGTGTGTGTGTGTGTGTGAGTACAACTGTTTTTACGTGCACGTGTTTCACTCAGACGTGGCTCCATCGTTCTCTCCCTCAGCTGATGTACTACCTGAAGAACGTACGCTTCAAAGTGCCGCACACGGACGAAGAGATCTACTTTGAGGGCGGAGACGTGGAAGGCAGCTACGACATCATTAACTGGCAGGTCAACAGTCACGGGAAGATATCCTACGTCACTGTGGGAAGCTACAATGGCTCAGCAGCTCCAGAGGACAGGATGACCATCACGAATGACTCCATTGTGTGGAACAATGAAATGTTGGAGGTCAGCAGCATGTTGATCAAGACGGAGTTTAACTCTTCTAGATTAGGATTAGTGTCACATGCATGTGTGGCTCTATAAATCGGTGTGTGTGTGTGTGTATGTGTGTGTTTTTTAGCCTCCTCGGTCAGTGTGCAGTGAGAACTGCCAGCCGGGCACCAGGAAGGGAATCCGACAGGGAGAGCCAGTGTGCTGCTTTGACTGTATCCCGTGTGCTGATGGAGAGATCAGCAACTCAACTAGTCAGTATACAGCTTCTAAACTGTACCTTATCGACATGACGGTGTCTTCCTGAAAAGTCTGAATTTTTACTGAAATATAAACCTGAGTGAATAAAGTTACTTTTATTTAAATTTTTGCAAAGACATTCAAGATTGATGTTAGAAGAAAACACATCTGTTTTTACTTAATTTAATAGCCTGAAAATACTTAACTTAATCTGTCTGAAATACAATGCTATTGGGGCAAATATAAAATAATCACAAAGTAAATGTGATAATGACATCTTATAAAACTTGCTATAATAAAAATGTATTATTCAAAATATGCAAATTACCAAGGTGAGGAAGCTGCGTTAATTTCGCCTCACAAAGATTTAATATGCTGCAAAACTAAGCATGGCGTCTACAAAACCCATCGGAATCCCCTTCGACATATAATACACTACCAAAATGTCTATTATTTTACATTTTATATTCATTGACACTTCACACTGAAATGGTTCTGGATCCGGAATCTCTTCTGTCATGTTTTAGAGGCCACTTGTATCTGCTGGGCCTCTTGTTCTTAATTTCCGGGTCGTTTCCAGACTAAGTCGGAGTTCCTCCCTCTCTGACAGATGCTCGTGCATGTATCCTGTGCAGTTATGACGAGTGGTCCAATGAAGCTCATGACAGCTGTGTACCAAAAATCATTGAGTTCCTAGCCTTTGGAGAGCCGCTGGGGATCACTCTCATCGTCATCTCGGCCTTCGGAGCGCTAGTCACCATTGGTGTCGGGGTGAGACAAACCTCCCAGTGAAGCCAACAGATCCCTTGTTGCACAGAATAAGGAGCCAAAAAACCCCAAATGGTGTGATTCACTGTTCTTCTTTTTCCAGGTGGTGTTTGTTGCGCACATTGGCACCCCTCTGGTGAAAGCCAACGATGCTCTGTTGAGTTTCTCGCTGCTCTTCTCGCTGGTGGTGACCTTCCTCTGCTCCATCGTCTTCCTTGGAGAGCCTCAGCACTGGAGCTGCATGACCAGTCAAGTATCCCTGGCTCTGGGCTTTGCTCTCTGCCTTTCCTCTATCATGGGTGAGTCCACTGCTTTGTTTTTTTTTTTACTGCACTGTTATGTGTGTATGTATATGAGTATATGCACGCAGTCTGTCTATCTACTGACTGCTCTGTAATTCAGGTAAGACAGCAGTGCTGATGCTGAGAGCTCAGGCTCTGAAAGCGGCCCGGATCAGAGCCAAAGCAGCTGCCAAAGCTGCAAAGTTGGCTGCAGCTGAAGCAGCAGCCAACGGTGGCAGTCCTGATGTCATCTTCACCAACACCTTTATAAACAGTGACTCCAATGCCTGTGCTAACCCTGAAATTGACAGTCTCACCTGTGCCCACCAGAGGGCGATAGCTGCTGTGGCAACTTTAATACAGGTAGATACAATAAATACAGGAAGAAAGGATGTGAAGCATCTTTACTCTGACCTGATCCTGTATTATATCTGACATCCTTCTACCCAGGCTATAGCGTGCACAGTGTGGCTCATCATCCTCCCTCCACACCCCTTTGAAAACACCTCTGCCCAGAATATAAAGATCATTCTGGAGTGTGACGAAGGCTCTGTGGTCTTCATCTGTTGTATCTTCGCCTATGACATCCTGCTGGCTCTGCTGGCCTTGATCTTTGCTTTCATAGCCCGCAAACTGGAGGACCACTTCAGGTAGGAAACACACAAGGTTTCAGCAGTAAACAGAGTTGCATTGTAGTTGATGTTTGACATTGTATTGTAACGTAACATGTTAAAAGGGATGATTTCTTTCTGTTTTCCTCATCTTCTTCTCGCACAAACACACAAAAGTGCCGGTATTAATCTGTGAGAAATCAAAACATGTGTGCTATATAACTTTTCTAATTCAATTTCCACATGTTCCTCTTTCTCTTGTTCAGACATTTTGGTGTAAAGAACATTTCTCTTGACCCTAAAGCAACATGTTTCTTCCTCTGCCTTCCAGTGAGGCGAAGTGTGTGACCTTCGGCATGCTCGTCTTCTTCATCGTGTGGATCTCCTTTGTCCCAGCGTACCTCAGCACACGCGGCAAGTTCATGGTTGCCGTCCAGATTTTTGCCATCTTGGCTTCCAGCTTCGGCCTGCTGAGCTGCATCTTCTTGCCTAAGTGTTACATTCTTTTGGTCAAACCTGAGCGCAACAGAGAGGAGATGATGATGCCCCGCGCAAAACCACGCGATGGGACCTCAACCGGGACCTCGGCTTCATTCGTAACAACTGCTACTGAGGTCAATGCGACGATTGCATCCACTGCTATTGATGATTAGTGGAGCTGCACTAAGAACTAAACAGAGCCACAATACCGACATCGTGAAATAGTTCATTGGCTCATTAGGCAACTGGTCCAGCTGATTAGGGTCCCTAGTCTTGTTATTCACATATATTTTACAATCATCATGTTTTTACTATGATGTCTTTGAGTCATGCTAAAATATACTTTAACAAGTTCAGACTCTTACTATCAAATTGCTGTTGTTTCAGTTTTGTTTTTGTGTAGCATAATTGCAATAAAGGCAACGTTTTACCTCAGATATTGTACTGTTGTAATAATACATTTTTTACATTTTAAAGTCAACATTTTACCTTGTGATTTCCTGTGTTTTGATATCTTCATGTTTCATATTGCAAGTCCAAGTGCAGCATATCGATACATAGAAAATCGAACTGTATCTATTTTCAATTTGTGTAAAACATCACACACACAAGTTGGGTTTTTCCTTCTATACAGTTTAAGGAACACTGTGCTCTTAAATTAGCCTGCGTTGATTCTAGACAACTTCAATGATTCATTTCGAGACGTTCTCGAACACTTCCTACTCCTGAAGGACTTTGAGGCTTAGTTTATCTTCCTCGGCCTCCATGTGATTGATCAAGAACAAAGTGAGTGTGACACAATCCAAATGAGCCAAAGAGCTAATGTCATTTGTTTCCATTCCAAGTAACCGTGCAGTCAACTTCACAGACGTGTACTGTGTTAACTAAAAGAGAGGAATTGATCAATTTTTAATCGCTGGAGAGAGAAACTCTCAGGAGATGCAGAGAGGAGCCTCGCTAATCATCAACACGCGGTGGTCTTGTGATTAATCATTGTAGTGTGTGTGGGCAGGTGCAGTGTTAGTCACTCAAAATGATTAATATAGTTTAGTGTGTGTGTGTGTGTATGGTTTTGTTGTATGTATGTGTATTAAAGCTTTATTTCAAGGCTGAAATAGAATTAGTGCGTCTACAACATATAATAATATTAATAATAATAATAACTTCATAGCACCGTTAACAGAAAGTTTAACAACAAAGATAAGAGTTAAACCCGGATAAAACACTACAATAGATGAAACAAAAACAATCGATACGATAAAAAAAAACTACTAAATAAATAAAATAAAATAAAATCATTTAGTAAAATCAACAAATACAAATAAAACAGTAAAGCGATGACATCACATAAAAGCCAGTCTATAAAAATGTACATACACCAGCAGAGGGAGATGCTAACTGATGCTGATGCTGCTACAGTGAGTCTAACCATAGATCAGTAATAAGATCAGGGACAAACAAAACGAAAGATGAACAAAGTGTCTCTGTGAGGTGTTTGGCAACCCCAAGCCTACAGAGCAGCTTTATGCTCCTTGGCATCATTTTTTTTAAACTTTTATTTTTTCAGGGAAGTCAAACTTAAACTCCACTGGAGGGATGAACGCCGTTCTTCCTACGGATATTCCCTCATTTGGTATAATGATACTGGGCGTGGAGAGGGCTGTGTAACATGTCACTCCAAAATCTCCCACAGGAGTTCAGCTGGGTTGAGGTCTTTTGGCCGTGAAGGTGATAAAACATTATTCACAATATTATACAGACTGTACCATCCATGCCGGATTAGCCAATCAGGTGAGAGCCACACACTCATAAGTAGGCTAATGGGCCGCAGGTGTTGACACTGCAGGCTGCCCTTATGCTCAGACCGTGGTGGTTTGTGTGTGCACTCGGCTTAGACTGTTGCTCTGTACATGTGGCTCTGGTAAGAAGCCAAACCTGTGCTTTTAAAAAAAATCATTAATGATGTTTCATCACTATTTTGGTGTTTTTGTTGTTTAGGTAGTGGAGGGGTGCAAGCACCTTGATGTGTTGTACTGTTTAATCATTGTGATAGAGTGGGTTTGCCTTTTATTGTAGGTTAAAAAGCCGAAAAGAGATGACTGCCTGCCAGCTGGTGCAGAGGTATGTAATGTCTTTCGGGCATCTGATCAGAATGCCAGACGCCTCCCGCCAGAGGTTTTCCAAGCACGCCCAACTGGTAGGAGGCCACAAGGTAGAACCAAAACACACTGGAGAGATTGTATTTTATCTTGCCTGGCCTGGGAAGACCTTGGGGTTCTCCAGGAAGAGCTGGAAATGCTTTGAGCCCGTGATGAATCACTACGTCTGTGTTTGTGTGGATTCTTTGGTGATTTCGTCTGATCCATGGTGATAAATTCTCTGCTCTCAAGACCAATTAAAAAAAGTTCAGATGGGTATTAAAAAAAGCTCATTGTCCTTGGCGGTGCAGGAACAAACTGTCGGTAAACCTACTGTGTTTTTGCTGTCTGTGAAATATCTGCTCTCCAAATGCCATTTGTTTCCTGATCTTCTCAAAAACTGACATGTTGCAGAGATTAAGAATTTACCTGACTACAGTGATTCCAATGGAGATCATTTCTGTTGTCTTAAACATTCATTCACTATCTGGCTCTCAGACTAATTATACACCCACTCGGTATCTGTAACTCCTTCAATCCCACACTGTCTTTTTTTTTTTAAAACCTTTTGATCTGGGAGAAGAATACGCTGCACCGGTTCTTGCAACTATTGATGATTTTAAGGTCAGAATGACATTCATTGTGCAGTCCTAACGTACCAGCGTACTAACTCATCACTAGTTAACAAAATGGATGTCATCTTTAAAGCTCATTATCTCAGAGTTAAAGGCAGATAGAACCTCGTCCATATAAATACATGCAGCATATTGTTAAAATAATGCATAGTGCAAACCGCAGAAGGTGTACAACTGCACTCCCAGTAGTAATTAGACTAATTAAACAGCATCTAACATATTCAGAGAAAGAGTTGGGTGTACCACGCAGGCCTGTGAGTGTGTGTGTCTGTGTGTGTGCGCCCGTGTATCAGTTTGCGTCTGGGTAGGCGTTCAGGATAAACTACTTGAATGACAGATTTTGTCCATGCTAGGATTTCTCTCCTAGTGACGAAGACATTGCAGAAAAGCCAGATTGGGTTCACTTTGTGTGACGAATGTCCATGATTGACAACAATCAGGTCATCCAGACAAAGTGCTGTGAGCAGGCGTGTGTGCGTCATCTTAAATGTGCCATATGTCTTTTATCAAAAGGAGCCCACAGTCAGTACACTATAACCTAATAGAAATCAACCCCTAATACTGGAAAGGGTTTAAGCTCTGAGGCATTGATGATCATATATATATATATATATATATATATATATATATATCTCTCAAGGTATTTATTGTAGTGTCCAGTGAGCTATCAGGGTCTCATTACCCGCCTGAATAATTAAGGCCTGACACTCTATCGCTGATCTGTTCACTTAACCTCTGAGGACACCAACCTCTGTGTCTCTGCTTAAACATCAAGATGATCCTCAGACCAGCCATTGAATGGACGAGTACAAACACGTTAGTTAAAACTAATTACATCAGTTGGGGTTGCATGGTATCTAAAAACCCCTTGTCAATGACTAGCACATCAACTTCGTTGTATTTCCCCACCGTGTTGAAGCCAGTCATGGATGCTATCAGAGTTTTAGCGGCGCTAGCAGCTCATGTTCTTTTTTTGGATTTGGGAAAGTTTACACTCCAGAAACCCCGGCCAACTTGGATAGAGTTACCTTAGCTAAACATGCAGCTTTAGCCCTCAGTCTGTTAAGTATAATATCATGAATATATCCATCAAGTACATGATTTAAGAACCAGTGTGTAGGATTTAGCGGGATCTATTAGCAGGAATGGAATATACCGGTAGGATTCAACTATGTTTTGAGCGCCGGGCTTTGAAGCACATTTTAGACAGTGGCCAAGCGGGGGAATTACAATTTCCGGGGTCCTTCACATGATGCCATGGGGCCCAAAAATACTTTTTTCCCCATAGACTTACATTTGGAAAGAGACGTCTGTAACTCAGCAGATAATTCTTTTGAGGTCTCCGACATGCTCGGAAAGGGAGGGGTGAGCGAAAGGGTATTCAGTTTGCATATTGCAAACTCGCTGCTAGATATGATTGAATCCTACACACCTTTTAAAGATTGTTGCCTTGAAGCGAGTCAGCTGGACATTATTTTTCATGTTAGCTGACAGGTGTCACAACTAAGGGTTTAATTTTGTTTGCATGGATGCTCTTATTGTAAGAATTCAGTGAGTGAGCTTCAACAAATTATACCTGACTCTTCTGTCATCTTTGCAGTATGTGATCAGCTCACATTAAATTCAAACAATTGTTCAAACATTTTGATTAAAATTAAAGTAGAGTTCTCCCTGATGCTCCCCAAACAAAGCTTGCTCTCATCCTTTGGTTTGGACATGTCAGCCAGCACTTTGCTCAGCCAGCTTTCATGATAAATGAACTCCACACAGGATCCAAATTCTCTCACTGCCTCTCTCCTTCCATCTTTAGACTAACTTTGAACTTCTCTGTGTACTGTGCTAAACTTGTGTTGAGTCAGGTGGTAAAGGGCCACATCGGCCCCTTGCTCTCCTGCAGTACCTGACATGAATTAGCATCTCATCAGCATGCAATCCCCCTCCACCACACAAACGATGATTGAATGCCTGCATCTCCTGGGTCCTTCCACTCCCCTTCAGTAAATATACTCTCTCCTCTTCGCAGTGCTGCTTTGTGCCCCCCCCCCCCCCCTCTCTGGTGCATTCAGGCAAAAAATCAAGTTTGTTCGTGTGTGTGGTCAGAAAAAGTTCGGAGGAAGATTCCAAAATCTGCTTGAAAGTTGTCAGGAGGGATTCAAGAAAGGCTCCCTGTTAGTGTGTACTTGAACTTTGAACTTCCAGCAGATCAAACACACACAAATGGAAACAGTGAATCACAAAGCCTCTCTATGACTTTACATATAAATATGCATGAAAGCTTGGCTGCAGTGCTGTTCTATTCATGCTTTCCTCCGAGATTAAACATGTAATAGTCGGATATCAATTTTGTTGTTTTGGCAAAGTCTGAAATACTACAAGTATTTAACATAGTGTGCATCTGTGCTTGCATATTTTGTAGCC